AAACTGCCCGGAGACTTGGGGACGAAAAGGCTCACGGCAAGAACCTCGTCTGCCCCAAGATGCGGCGGAAGATCTCGTACAAAGAAGCTTTGGCCAGGGCCCTATTTGACTGTCACACAGGTTTCCGGCTACTGGAAGTCGCTGACCGTTCCTAGTGCCAGTGCGCTCTGCCTATTATTTAGGAACAGGAGTCAGTCATTCAGTCCCTCAAGCCTGATCCAACATTCTATTAGATCGTGACTGATCCGTACCTCAACTCCATTTACCCCACTTTGCTCCATATCCATTGACACCCTGACCTAACAGATATCTATCCGCCTCAGTCTTGACAATTTGGATTGATTCAGCGTCTTCGGGCTTTTGGGGGAGAGAGAGAATTCCAGATTTCACCTCATTGTCTTTATCTGTTGCTGCACAGGAACATTGCGTCTTGTAGAGCCTCTCCTGTGTGGGCCGGGAATGATGAACCGGTTTATTGATTTGCTCAGATAGCAATAATAATATAATTTTCTTGTTATTTGTTGCAATGTTACAAACCTGTCTTTCTTCCTCCCCCCTCAACCTCACACACACACACACACACACACTGCAAGGTATAGACTCACATTGGGTGATATGGGGAGGGAGGGGAGAGAAATCTTTTACAAAATATGTTTTTTGTTGCTTAAAACCTACCTCTTCAGCTACTCCTATGGCCATCGTTGACTCTCCCTTGTTTGTGTCTGATCCCCATCTTTGTACTGTATAATGCTTCAAGATGTTATGTTATTTTACATTAAGGACACTACATAAATGCAAATTGTAGTTGCATACCACAAGTGTCCACTGAAATAGGTCGATAACCGAAGTTCCTTCAGTTCTATTTCCTTCGTAACTTTGTATTGTACAAAATGATTCTTGTTGATGTCGGCGCTTATTAGAATACACCTGCTCCCTTCAACACTGGTGTGGGTTTTACTTTGCTGCCAAAACAGAAGCCTGAGGGATGGTTCTGTTCTTGCGTTTCTTTATCATCAAATCTGCCCTCAGGAAAAGCTTCGCTTGCAGGTTTTCTTAACTCAAAATTTTTGACTACAGCAACAGCAGATTGCATTTATGGATTGGAGAGAACATCACCAGGGAATAATGGCATACTCTCCGGCCTCCTGCATGTCCCTTGTGCCCCCGTTCCACGATCGGTGCCCATGCTTTCAGCCACTATGCCCCGAAACTTTGGAACGCTCTTCCTCAATCACTCCGACTTGTCCCCTCCTTCCCCATCTTTAGGTGGCATTTGAAGACCTTTCTCTTTGAGCGTGCCTCTGGCATTGTGCCCCACCACTGGCAAACGCTGTGGGACACTGCCCTGCGTGAGGGGTGCGATATGGATACAAGTTGTTATTGTTGAAGTTCTGTTATGATCTAATAACATGGACAACAGACTCGATTGACGGCTAGCCTCCGCCATCCCAATGAATCGTCTCTCTCTGCTGAAGGTTTATTATCATTATATATGAGGTGCACAAGAGGGGAGAGGGGAGCCCTTCCCAACACAGACATCAGAGGGAGAAAACCCTTCCCCCGCACACATGGTAGAAGGGACTCCCCCCCCCCCCCCCCACCCACATTAGGGATGATTCCCCATCCTAACCCACACGAATGGGGAGAATTCCGCCACAAATAAAACACACGATATGGGAGATCCACTTCCCCCAACCCACACATGATGGGGGAAACCCCCGAAGCTTATAAAATAAAAAATTTATAATTATAAAATAAAAAATTGACTGCCGCATTTCGCCCACAAATATACAATCAATTCACTTTACAGTCTATTCTGTGAAGCGCTTTGAGACGCCTAGAAGATGTGAAAAGCGCTATATCAAATTATTATTATTAAAGCACAGGTTTGATTCAGGGGTAAGAGTGAGGGAGGAGAGAGCGAGCGACCACTGACACAGGATGAAGAGGAGGGTAAACGAATAACACTTCTGGCACCAGAACAAGAAATTACATTAGTATAACACCTTACATGTCGGGAGGACGACTCGAGGCACTGGGGGAACGTCAGGGATTTGGACCCGAGCAGGGAGTTGGGATCAGGCGGGGTGGAGGGCAGGGAGAGTAGGGGCAGGAGGTTGACCGAAGGCACGGTTGAAGAGAAGGGTCTTGAGACTTGCCTTGAAGGAAGCATGGGATGGAGGGAGGTGAAGGGAATGTGGGATGGAGCGAAGTGAAGGGAATGTGGGATGGAGCAAGGTGAAGGGAATGTGGGATGGAGTTCCAAAGGGTGGGGGCAAAGAGGCTGAAGGCCCAACTGCTGATGGTGGGGCAGGCCAGGCGGGGGACGTGGAGCAGGCTGGAGCCTGTTGATGGGAGGGAGCGGATAGGTTGATATGGCATTAGCATGTAACACAGGTAGGAAAGAGCAAGGCCGTGGGAGGCTTTGCAAGTGAGGACGAGGATTTTATCCTCTGGGGATGGGGAGCCAGTGGATCTGGGCGAGGGTGGGAGTGATGGGGTCATGGAGCTTAGTGCAGGAGAGGACAGGAGCTGCAGAGTTCTGAATGATCTGCAGCTTGTGTTGGGAAGGGTTGAGAAGGCCGACAAGTAAAGAATTGGCTTAGATGCAATGACTGCTTGGATGAGGGTCTCGGCGGCCTGAGGGGAGAGGCAGTTATGGAGCCGGGCTTTGTTGCGGCGATGGGGGAAGGTGGAGCGGATCATGGCACAGACACTTTGAGACGGGGAGACCCCAGTACAGACATGATGTGGGGGTGCAGTACCCAGAAAACCCTGCGCAGGTATGATGGGGAACACAACCAACAACAATCATTTGTATTCATGCAGCGATCTTCACATACCGTGACATCTCGGGGCGCTTCACAATTGTGGGTTCAGTGCCAAGCAGGGGAGAAGAGGGGATGTGGAGGTGTCCATAGGCATGGTCAGAGAGGTAGGTTTTAAGGTGGGCTTTAGAGATACAGAGGGTATGAGGCTGACTGATGGTGGTGTCGCGGGGTGGGGGGCAGGGGGCACACAACAGGCCCGGGATAGCTGAACAGAGGAAGGGCATGGGATACGAGAAGATCAAAGACATGCTGGGGTGTGGAGGGATTTATATGTACAGGTAAAGACGTGAGGTTGATTTGTTTGGAGAGTGGGAGCAATTGGTATGTGGCAATAGGGTTAATGGCCGATTGGTGTGGGTGAGGATACGGACTTCTATATTAGCTGAACTTTGTGGATAGTGGAATTGGGGAGACCAGCAAGGAGTGCGTTTGAAAAATCATGGGTGGGAGGAGACAAAAGCATGGATAAGGATTCTGGCAGCGTTTGATTTTTGGTAGCGGCAGAGGTGGAGAAAAACAACTTGCAATGATTTTGAGCCCTTCATACGGGGAGGTGCGCTGAACAATGGTGATGTTTGATCCCGAGCCGCGGAGAAAGGAGAGTGACCATCAGCACAGTCAAAGAGGAACGAGGGGGTTTTCAGGCCGAGCATTTTTTTTAAACACATAAAGTGCTTGGGAAAATCCCCAACATCCCCTAGGAATTCCCCAGCAGTAATTTTAAAATACTCCACCAGTAAATTGCCCCTCCATAACAATAATAATAAAAAAAGAGTAATCATGATTTTTTGCCAAGTGATCACTGTTTCGGCAGTTTTTACGGAATTTTAGGAACATTTTACGGAAACATTACAGAAACATTATTTGCTAAATACTTTGTATGATTATTACATATCAGATTCCTGCTTTCATATTATTTTAAACATTCTAAAATTTAAAACAAATCCACAAAGCGTTACTTCATCTGTAAAAATCTGTCTTTAATGTTTCTGGATGTGGGATAAAAAGTGTCGGTTTGAGTTCAGTCAATTCCTTAAAAGTTGCCCTGTATGATCTGAATAGGAGCAAAGAGGGGACAAGGCGAAGGGATTGAGGCATGGAGTTCCAGGGGTGGATTAGGTTGGAGCTAGCAGTGAGGAGATGTTGGCGGGAGCCAAGGAGGATGGCTTTCGTATTTTCTATATTAACAACAACAAATTACACTTGTATAGCGCCCTTTATGTCAGAAAGACATTAAGTTGCAGAAAGTTGAGGCTCACCCAGGCCTTGATGTCTCACAGGCAGACAGACAGGCAGAATAACAAGATTACAAGTGGAAAAGTCATTTTGGGTGTCATTCGCATCCATGATATTAATCCTTGTATTTGACATAGTCATTTGGTCATTTTCAATCTACGACTGTTTGTGGGACATTGCTGTGCGCAATTGGCTGCCGCGTTCGCCCACAAATATACAGTCAATTCACTTTACAGTGTGTTCTGTGAAGTGCTTTGGGACGTCCTCCTGACGTGAAAAGCGCTATATCAAATGCAAGGATTATTATTATTATTATAGTGTTTTACATGTCGGGAAGAGATCTCAAAGCACTTCACTGGATATATTGCGAAGTGACCGTGGGTTTTGTGGGTGAATGTGGTAGTTGACCCCACGGCTATGGATATGTTACCAAGAGGAAATGTGTGAAGAAAAGGATGAGGCTGAGGATAGAATGCTGAGGTCCCCGCGGGGTGGGAAGAGAAACTGCTGGAGGAGACGAGATGGAGGTGGTGGGTCAATAGGACTGGAATCGGGAAAGTACAGTCCCACGCAGGTGGATGAGGGAGGAGAGGTGATCGAGGAGGATGGTGTGGTCCACAATGTCAAAAGCAGTGGAGAGGTCGAGGAGGACAAGAAGGCAGAGAGAGATCTGGTCACAGGGAGGGAGGAGTTTATTGGTGGCTTTGGCAAGGGATTCCTCAAGGGCTTCTGAGGGCAGGTCGAAAATGGGCACAGTACAGTACGTGCACTATGAGCAGTGTCAACCAGAGATATTGGGGGTGGGTGGCTTCTCTCTGCTATATTATTATTATTGTTATTATTGTTATTATGTGTCTTCTCTCTCTCTGCTTTAAACCCCAAAGTAGTATATTTTTTCACACCCCCTCCCCACTTTTTTTTCCCCATCACTAGAAATCGATGGAAGAGGAAAAGCAAGAGCACGTAGAGAAAGTTGGTGAATTGTTGAAGTGGATGTCTGACAAGAGCAAGAGCTTAGCAAAGAAACGTCTAGAAGCACAGACAGATGAACCCTGTGAAGCGGAGAGGTCGCTGGCTGAGAAACGGGTATTGTAAAGTCTTACTGATACCAACGTTCACACTTAACCCGCGACTGATTCATGCAATGACTGGCACATGACAGGACAGGCTTGCTTAATGTCCTTGCAGTACTGATTGTGAAAGGTCCCAAGAATTTTGAGGATATTACCGTTATTACTATATACTTAATAGTTATTATTAGGAATAAGATGTGTAATTTTTTACTTTTTAAGATAAGTGACAGCAGCAGTTTCCCTGGCCATTTTCTAAGCATTCAGGCCACATCCTGTGAGCCTGAAACAACAACAACTTGTATTTATATTGCACCCTTTACGTGGGGCAGTCTCGGAGAGCTTGAAACAAATTACAGTCTTGAATTAATCGTCTAATTCAAGTGCCGCGAGTTAAGACGTCTCAACAAAGTAATAAGGCACTATATCAAATGCAACAATTATTATTATTTCATTACGATCTCCCTTCAGCTTTCTGCTCTCCAGTGTGAACATTCCTGTTATGTGTAGCCTCTCAGAACTTTCCTCTCTTACCATTTTCTGTTTTTTCTTTCTTCGAAAAAATGATTCTTCTGAAGCTGCTATATTTCTGAGCTATTGCGATATTTCTAGCTTTCTGAGCTATTTTTGTATAAAATACAAGTATTATTAAGGACTATGACTATTAGGTTTGAATGTGATAAAATATTTTGTTTTCATGTAAACTTTGGAAATCTCTTTGGAGATGCCTGGGAAACTGGAAAAAGAGAGTGAAGTTTTTCCTGGTGTCCTGGCTAACAATCTCGCAGATAAAATTGGTCTTTGTTTCATGGCTGTTGTGGGACATCACAGTGCGCAATTGGAGCTGGCGCATTCATCTGCAAATACTATTCCCAGCAGGGCGAAATGTTGGACAAGTTTCCTTACTCCACACACCTCTGGTTACCTTGCAGTAAGTAGGAACTCAGTTGTCAGTCGATTGGCAGATTGCTTTCTGAGGGTAATAATTCCTTCAAAAAAAAATTGGTCACTCAATCCACGACTGTGTGGGCACTGTAGTGCACAATTGGCTGCTGTGTTTTGCCCACAAAATGTACAGTAAATTCACTTTACAGTATATTCTGTGTAAGCGCTTTGAGACGTCTCCAAGGAGTGATAAGGTGCTATACCAAATGCAAGAATTATTATTTTATTATCTCCCAGAGTATAATTGAAAACTTCACAATGTAGGTTAATATTTACTTATATGTATTACATTTTTATTTTAATTGTTCCAGGTGCTCAGCATGGAATTGTCAAACAAGAAGGACCAAGTCGCTGATGCTGTCCACAGTGTACAGATGTTCCTGGTTAAACACAGTGATAAGTAAGTTTGCATTTTCTCTTTCATCATTATCTTAAATATGTTCCCTCTCAATATATTGTGGAACCTAATTATAAGGCAGTATGCCAGCCTGGCTCAGTTGGTAGCATACTTGCCTCAGAAGGTTGAGGGTTCAAACCCCACTTCGGACCTTGAACTCACATAATCTTGACACTCCAATTCAGTGCTGAGGGTGGCCTGCATTGTCCTTTGGATGAGATGTTAAATTGAGATCGTCTGCTTGTTCAGGTGGACGTTAAAGATCGCAAGGCACAACTGGAAAAGAGATTGGAGTTTGTCCTGGTGTCATGGCTAACAATCTCTCAGATAACAACAACAACAAGATTCCATTTATAGAGTGCCTTTCACGTCAGGAGGACGTCCCAAGGCGCTGCACAGTTGGGTCATGACAAATTAGTCATTTGTTTCATGGCTGTTGTGGGACATCACAGTATGCAATTGGAGCTGGCGCATTCACCTGCAAATACGTCATTCACTACACTTCTCAGTGAATCCTGTTAAATGCCAGGAAACAACATGATAAGCGTTATATTAAATGAAAGGATAATTCTTATTATAAATGAGGCACGTTATAATACTGAGTATCACAACGGGGCTGCACTGGCCACGGTTTGCTTGTAATGTGTGGCACAACCGCCTCTCTGTCCTTGTACTTATCATAATAATAATAATGTAGGATATCAGAAGAGGATCGACGACACACGGAGCAACAGCTCGGGTCTCTGCAGGAGTCGTATGATCAGTTATGTGAGGAGTCCTCAGATCTGCTTCAACAATCGCAGACTGCACTGGCTGAAGAGGCAGTGCAGAAGGTAATAATCCACCAGGTCAAACAGCCAAGTGGCCCAGGAAGCACTTTAACACTTATTTTGTGCAGCAGCGCAAGGCCGTCTGCTTGTATGGCTATTAACAAAACAAAATCCTGTGGTAGCCGCCCTTTTATAATCGCATGATTACAATTACAAGTTTGGACAGGACAAGGCGACAATTTGTAAGGGTTCAATAATTTGACACTTGCAAATTTTACCCCCACTCTGTTGAATCCACATTCACTGCCATGATCAGCAGAAGGTAATGTATCTTTTTTGAGAGTTTTTGACAACACCAATCAGAGAAATTCTACACGGGTCTGGATTGACTATGTTTTTATGGAGCATTTCAAGAGTGCCCAGCATTTGAAAGGTGTCAAATTCAGTCTCTACTTTGAAGCTGGTTTTCTTAGGAGAAACCTACAGAAAGCCAGTTTCAGATTACGACTGCATCTAAGAATTTATTTACCAAATTCTGGACACTCTAAGACGCTTAAGGAAATAGTCAATCGGGATCCTAGCGGAATTGTACTCCCAATGTGAATTTCATATGTGTTTTTTTTAATCATGATTTGAAAGCGTCGGCAATTTTTTTTCCAGGCGTTTGCTTTACTTGGTCACTTGTTCCTGTGTGTGTATATAATATGTGTGTGTCTATGTGTGTACATACGAAAATGATAGTTGTGAAAAGATGCCGTCCACTGTATGCTGTAAACATGCATAGCATGATCATCCTAATGTTAAATATGGTTTGTGTTTTACCATCCTCTGTAACCAGAAAGCATGGTGCTTAAACTCCACAGGTATCTATCTACGTGTGTTTTGGTATTTAAGAAAAAATTAGTAACCCTCTGTTGCTTCCTCTGTGACTAACCTTTTTAAGTACACAGACGCATGCAGGATTTTATTAAAAAAAAACTCTTATTCCTCTCACTGTCGAGACTGATGCCGATCTGGCTTTTGCTGTTGCATCGCTAACATTCATATCCTTGGGTAAGTGAACATTCTTGTCTTATAACAAAACACAGCTGAAGCGTATTTGTACGCACAAGCTATTGAGATAGTTTAGCGTACGCCTTGTGCCACTTTGGCTTGTGTTCTGTTGCCGCTCTGTAACTTGCTTTTACTTTGGGATTTATTTTCAGGGTGGTGGCGAGACCATTGCGGGTGTCGTGGACATGGAAACAGGGGTAATTTTCTCGGTCTTTGACGCCATCCGCAAAGGTCTCATCGATTATGACACCGGGCTGTGTTTGCTGGAAGCTCAGGTGGTGGTCTCAGGCCTTATTGTACCCGAAATTAACCAATGCCTCAGTGTGGAAGAAGCTCTGAAATATCGGCTGGTGGATGAGAAGATCTTCAGTCTCTTAAGAGAGTTGAGCCTGGCTGTGGAGCGGATTTCAGACCCTTTATATCTCTCTGGCATCGCTCATCCCGCCGTGGCTGCTTTTGAGCAGAGGGTCATCTCCGAAACGTCAGTGGTTAAAATCCTTGAGATTCAGCTGGCGACCGGAGGGCTGAGAGCCCCGGCCACTGACGAGAGGCTGGACCTAGAGGAAGCTTTCCAGAGAGACTTCATCATTGCTCCGCTGTACTTCAAACTGCTGGAGAGGCAGAGGATGTGCAAGGAGCTGATCGATCCCAATGCAGCTGAGAAATTATCGTTGATGGAACTGATGGAGAGAACTGTGGTGCACAAGGAAACTGGCCTCCTATTGCTGCCTGTCAGGCGGCTGGAACAGGATAAGATCTTGCTGAAATCTGGCAGGAAGGTTAGCGTCTTCAGGGCACTTCACGAAGGTGTCATAGAGCGAGAGGTGATGATCAGGCTATTGGGAGCTCAGCTGTTTGCTGGGGGCATCGTGGACTCCAGCACAGGATGCCAACTAACGGTGGATGAAGCGTTGGAATGTGGCCTGATTGATCAGGACACAGCTTCATGCATCCTTAGCCGTCAGGTTCAAACCGGAGGTGTGGTCAACCCGGTCACCGGTAACCGGTTAACCTTGGACGAGGCAGTGCAGTGCAATTTAATAACTTCGAGCAGCGCCCTGTTGGTGCTGGAAGCTCAGAAGGTATTTATGGGTTTGATATGGCCGGAGTCAGGAGAAATATTCTCCGTGGATGCTTCCTTACAACAAGGTGTAGTGACGAGTGAGCTAGCTCACAAAATCTTGTACAACAGGCAGAAAGTGGCAGCTCTGTACATCCCGGAAGATTCATCGGTGCTCAGTCTTGAAGAAGCTTCCAGGTTGGGTGTAATAGATGATGCCACCGCTCAGATTCTGGGCACAGCGTTTATTCCTGACCTTCTCCCCATCACTGAGGAGCCCCATTCTACACAGGGCGATGTCCCCAGGTGGGTGACAAGTTGCGAAATCCAAATATGCACTACTGACTCTCAAAACACACATGGACCAGAGACTGTGCCTCCTTTACAGACTGAAACCAAGCAGAGGTTTGTGAGCTACTTAATGATGCACAGCTACATGGACGCAGGCACTGGGAAGAGACTGCTGTTGGTGGACGGGGACTTGGATGAAAACATTAAAATGGTCATCGAAGCAAATGTGGATGTTTCCTCAGACTTCCTGGTTCAAGGTGAGAGTGGTTTTGATAACTGTTTAGATTGGCCTAGGGTTGTTTCTATTCAGGAATCGAATGAGATGGATTCTTATCTTGAGACACTGGATCTAGGCAGGAAGGGAGGAGAGCCATGTGATGTTCTGAATGAGGGAAGTGGAAATGTTACCGATGAAACGATGCTTTGGATACCTGGAGACGAACACCTGGAGAACTATGACCCCAGGGAGCCCGAATGGCCGGTGGACACTCGGGATCGAGGAATCTATCCAATCTTTGGGGTAGTTGACTTTGACGTTTGCAGAGATAAAACTGTCACAATGATTGACACGTTAGACGACATTGCAGATCCGCTGGAAGTGCTGTGTCTGAACGGTCACGCCAGCGCCGAGCAGGCCATGAATGTAGATATTACTCTGAGCAGCGAAAATGGTTACATTGACTGTTTCGAAAGTTGCTTAGACAACCAGATGGAGGAAACTGAAAAGACTGAGGATGATATCACTCACAGATGTGTGCAGAAGCAGACAGCTTCACAAACCCGAGATTTAAATGTTGGAGGAAACAAGGACATTGTTTTGCCAAAAGAAGGAAAGCGTGACTCGGTGACGGACAAAGCTGTTCAATGGCGCCCATTAGACCAACCTTATCAAATCAATGAGGATTGGAAACTCACACCATGTCCACTGGAGACAGAGCTCTGTGGTGTGGCCAATGCAGCAAATGGAAAAGAACTGGATAATCTTTCTTTTGATGGATCTTCTGCTGTCCAAAGGGATGTGGATGAGAGCATTGGCACTGCCACTGCAGCTGATATTTATTTCCAAGACACATTGGCAAACCAGGTAGAGTGCTCTATGGGCTCGGCAGAAGGTGACGTTCACTCGTTTAAGGGTATTTCACGGGAGCCAGACATTCCCACTCCATCAGAAGAACACCTTAATCAGGCGACCGATGAAACTGCACGCTGGATTCCCATCAACTCTCAGCTTTCAGTGGATGAAGATGAACAGTTTGTTCTGTGCCCTTTGGAGCCAATGTCCCCAACTGCAGCTGCTTCAGCGTCAGATAAAAATGCAGAGTGCGGAAAAAATAAAATCAGGACCGTCAAAACTTTGGAAGATATTGCAGACGCAGAAGAAATGCCACCTTTTGTTGGTGGGCCTGTTGTAGATGGGGAATTGGAAGAAACTATTAAACAGAATATAACCCCAAATGTCGAGGTTGCTGAATTAGAACTGAGGGATGGAAAGGGTGGCCATACACACAGTGATAGCAGCGGAGCTATATTGGAAGGCGGGCTAGATGCAATGAACGCTACAAACAAACTTGACTTTGATGAATTTGTGGAAGCAAATGCAGAATCAGATGGTACAGAAGAAGATGTGTTCATGTTGGTGACGTCAGCTGCAGAACAGACAAACACAAGAACCCATTGGATTTCTGCGGACCAACCGCTTGAAGCAGATGAATGTGGCGAGTTAATTTTATGCCAGTGGGAAAGCGAGAAGCCATCTGTATCCACTACAGCGGAGCAGAAAGTTAGAAAGGACAGAACCATCAGGAAGATCGGAACGTTAGATGATATCGCAGAACTAGAAGACCCCGTTGATGTTTTTGGGGAATCGGTTAAAGATATTTTAACACAGAAGGACCAAGTTGATTGGAATACAGGAGCGTTAAGAAGTGAGATGAAACAAACTAATGCCCCTGAAGGAGCCATCATTGACAAAGTGACAGAAAAGGCGACAGAAGACTTTGAATATGGGAGAGGAACAATGACTACAACTGTTGGACAATTGGGAGATGTATCCAAGACACAGGAAATGTCATATTTTAATGCATGGAAAGCCTCTGCAGGGAATGGAAATAAAACGTTCCTTCAACAAACAGTTAACAGCCTTGACGATGTATTTGAAACTTCCATACCAACGCCTGGCAACCCAGGAGTTTCTCTGAATGATTTAGGCTTCATCAGTACTCCAGAACAAATGGATGAAGATTTCGAACGACTGAAAGGAAAAATCTTTGCAGATCAGAAAGAGCAACTAGAAGAGAATGATAAGCATGCTTGTGACCGTCAGAGCTGTTGCTCAGTTGAACAAGCGTTAAAAAGTCATTCGTCAGATACACTGATCACAAAGGACACTTCAGGAGATGTGAGCTGGCAGCTACAAGTTACACCCAGTGGAGGTGGAATGACATGGAAGGATGCTGAAGACAGTCAAATCGCAGAAGACTTAAAAGAGGAATATCACTTGCTTGGCTTCATAGAAGATGATGAAGATGATGATGATGATGATGAAGATATTGGAGAACCTACTTCCATATTTGAAGCATTGAAGAGCGAGAAATTAGAAAGATCGGTTGCAATAGAGTTACTGAAAACAGAAATAGAAGCAGGTGGAATATATGACCCC